GAGGAGGAAGGGACATACCTGAGTTCTTTCCCCGCTGTCGTGACCGTCGTAGCGCAGGAAGAAAGGGCCGACCGAGCCACCGGCTCGCCGGCACTCCGCCGCGTCGTGTGCACAGGCGTGCGGGCTCAGGGCGCCGATGCGAGGCCACTCGACGATGGCGTGCTCTACCAATCGGGGGCAGGCGCTCCACCGAGGGGGCCCACAGCGACGCCATATCCTCCTCCGGCTACCATGCGCGGGCGTCGCTCCGTCGTCTTCGGGCGCCACCGACGAGAGAGGGTCGAGGGGGAGAAAGAGGAATGAGGCTAGGGTTGGGGGAGGCCGGCTGGGAGGGGGGCGTTTTTTGTTCTCCCGATTGGTGCGCATGGCCGTCGGATCATCATCGACTGCCGATAGAGCTCGGGCCACCTTTAGGCCCAGGCAGGAAGGAGAATTCCCGGCCCAGGCCCAGGTTGTGGCCTGGGCACGGGGGAGCGGGCGCGCGAAGCAGGCCGCTGGGCCACCGTGTTTCGCTGGGCCGCGCACTACTATTACAGAATTGGCCACGGACTGTGTTCCCTAGGCCGGGCCAAATGAACAGTAAACACTGATTTTAAGTTTTATCCTTTTCGTAAGCACATTTTGATGAATTTGTTTTGATGTTTCATCTCTACTCAAATTTGAACTAACGGAATAATTTGTTTAGAGAGTAGATAAGTACACAGTGATGCTTCGGAATAACCATTATTTCAAGAATTTTTTTCACGTTTTCCGCTGCAAAGAAGGTCATGATTATCTTCTAATTAAATTCAAACCAACAGGAGGATTTAATTTGAAGAGCAGTTATATTTATTTAGTAAATTATAATTTTGTTTATCCTCTAATTAAATTGGAACCAACGGGAAAATTTAAATTAGAGGAGTAGACCAATTTATTTTTAGTTAAATTATGATATTGTTATTTTCTGACCAACGTCGATGATAACAATATTGTAAGTTGATTAATGAGTTTTTCCATGCATTAATTCTATTTCTGTCCAACGGTGATATAGAATTAATATAGAAAAATATTGTATTTATGATATTGCTATTTTTCTGATGAAAGTTAATGATAGCAAAGTTGATGATAGCAATATTATAATTTTTTATTTATGAGTTTGAGTTTGAAGTTTAAATCTCTGATAAATGTTACACTAACGTGGTCAATTTTTCAGAGAGTGGATAAGGACCAAGAAATGTTTCTGAACTAATAGAATATATTTTATTATCATGTTTCCACTACAATGATGTTGATTATCTTCTAATTAAATTTGAACCAACGGAAGAATTTAATTTTGAAGAGTAGTTATGTCTTTCAAGTTTATTTATGAGTTTTATGCATTAATTCTATATTCTGCCCAACGGTGATGTAGAATTGATGTAGAAGGCTATGTGAATGAAAAGGCATGAGTTAAGCCAGTTTTGGATTGATTTTTTGTTAGTTTATTAATTTTCTAATTAAATTGGAACCAACGGGATGATTTAATTAAAAAATGAAGTATAAGTGAATGTTTTAGTCGTCATGACTAAGTTTTCGTTACAGTAAATAGTATATTTTTTTCATCATTATGATAAGAGTTGCAATAAGTAACATACATGTCTAATTTGACCAACGTTGGATTAAGCATGCGTGTTTGTATATAGATTTATCCCGCATAGCAAGAGAAGTTGGGGTAGCTCTTATGCTATCCTAGTATTGACCATGGCACGATAGAAAAGCACCGTTATGGTCAATACTAACCAAGGATAAGAAAAACGTGCAAGTGTGACTTGCAAAAGTACTATTAATAAAAGACCTCGTTGAGTTCTTGAAGTGGAATGAGAAAAGTGTACTCCTATATGAATCAAGAAATAACTTTGTTTGCATAACATAATCATGTGAATGAAGTAAGTCATAAGTGTCTCATCGTTCACAGGTTTTCTGAATAGTTCTCAAAATTATTGCAGTAAAGTTTATGTCATATTTCGAGGGAAAGGATTGTGAGAGCAATTAAGAGTGAGATAAAGATCAATTAAGAAAAATACTCTTCATTAAGAGTGAGATAAAGATCAATTAAGAAAGATACTATTCATTAAAAGTGAGATAAAGATTAATTAAGAAAGGTACTCTTCATTAAGAGAAATAAAGATTAATTAAGATGAATTTGAGCGTCGGAGGAGTACAACGGTCACAACAATGATACCCCTAACAATGATACCCCTAAGCAGAAAAATAGCTAAATTCCTGGACTTTTTACAGTTCTGATAGAAAGATAGCGTAATCAGCCAGAATTCATACTGGACGAGCCTCAAAGATATTATGGCGGTGCTTAAAGCATCATATAAGGTTTTAACAGATTAGACTCAAATAAAAAATTTGAAGATACACTATCTTTATAGAAGATGGGATAATCTAGGAGAGCATGGTACGTGGAGGTATATAAAGACCTAAGACTTGAAGAGAAGAGGGACTGCGTGTCCACTCTAGTGATTCAAGAGCAACAAATTTCTCAATACCTATTGATGTTGTATGACTTACACAACACCTGTTGTTAGCTCTTCAGAAAAGATGAATAATATAAACAAGGATCTTGTGATACAGGAGCCTATAGAATCAATTGTCTTTTGGCAATGAAGAGCAACAACAGCCCCATATGAAAGTGCCAGTAGCTGAGGCCCTAGAAGGTCTTAAAGAATTAGTAAATCAGTTTTTTCCGATGACTATGAAGTCTATGTTAGTGAAGAAATTCAAATGAAGGGTGACCCACCTCATTTGAAGAAGTCATGAGAAGCGTTTACCCGTCTAAATGGCAAGAAGCTATGGAAGCTGAAATGAATTCGATGAATACCAATGATGTTTGGGACTTAGAAGAAATTCATAATGGAGCCAAAACAGTAGGCTATGAATGGGTCTACAAGATAAAATGTAACTCCAAAGGGAATGCGGAAAAATATAAAGCATGACTTGTAGCAAAAGGCTTTACGCCAAGAGAATGAATAGATTACAATGAGAGTTTTTTTCTCCAGTCTCATGCAAGGATTCTTTTAGAATCATAATGGTGTTAGTGGCACATTATGATTTAGAGTTACATCAGATGGATGTAAAGACGTCATTCCTGAACGGGGATTTGTATGAAAAACGTTTACATGGCACAACCCAAAAGTTTTGTTGTGGAAGCAAAAGAACGTATGGGATGCCGCCTGTAGAAATCCATTTATGGGTTAAAACAAGTCTCTAGACAGTAGTATTTGAAGTTGATGAAACAATAAGGAAGTTTGAGTTTAAAGAGAACGAGGAGGACAATAGCGCTTATGCAAAAGTTCAAGAATGGAAAATTCATTTTCCACATTCTATGTATAGATGACATGCTACTTACTAGTAGTGATGTTGATCTGCAATTGGAGAAGAAGTTCTTGTCCTTAAGTTTCAATATGAATGATCTTGGTGAAGGGTCATTGGTTGTAGAAATTGAAATTCATCGAGATAAAAGAAAAGGGGTATTAGGCCTATGCATAGGCATACCTAGAAAAGATTCTAAAGTAATAAAGTATGCATGCGAGTAAACCTATGCCTACTCCTATAGTCAAGGGTAATAGATTTGGAAACTTTTAGTGTTCCAGGAACCGATATGAGATCGATCAAATGAACATGGTTCTATATACTTCAGCTATTGGAAGCTTAATGAGTGTACAAGTAAGAACTTACCCTGACGTAGCTCACGTATCCGGGATGTTTTGGCAAAAGTCCAGTCCAAATATAGATCACTGGAATGGAGTTAAGAATATATTGCAATTTTGCGAAGTATTATAGGCCTCATGTTGGGTAAGATAGAACAGGTACTCTTAAATAATTGTGGGTACAAATGTTAAACTTCGGCAAGATGTGTAGTGAAATTCACAGTAGTAGCTAACACTCGCAGTTGGAGTTTTATCGTGGAAAAGCTCTAAAGAAACTGTTGTGGTATCATCAATGATGCATATCCATAGTATAGCTTGTCATGAGGCTTCAGGAACAGACAAAAAGTGGTTAAGGGAATTTGTACCCAGATTTAACAATGGTAGACAACAACAATAACCATTTAAAGTAGTTAACTCTTATGACAACAGGTCAAGTGTGCTGCCAAACACATTGACATTAAGTTATATGTTGTAAAGGAGAAAATCCAGAATCATTTTGAAAGTATTGAGCATATAAGTACCGAGCAAATACTTGTGGATCCGGTTACCAAAGGCTAACCACCCAGTGCGTTTACAGAACACACAGTCGACATGGTTACGGGAAAGCCTATAATTTCTGGATACTAAGGGCCTAGTTGAGAATTTATTTTAAAACAAAGAGGTGTATTGTAGCTGTTAATCTAACGGTACTAACTATTATGACGAGGCATGCTCTATGCACTAATCTATGATGGAACAGGAAAGAAATAAAGTGAAATAAGTTTAAGTCATAAGGTGAGATCAAGGGAGAGAATGTTAGATTGATCTCCACCCGGCTCGGTCCAACGACCGAATCAGACCTTGACTCGCGCCCTGATCGGGAGCGCCCAGCCGTTCTCCTAGCTGGTGGGCCCCCATCGCGCAGCACTATGAATAAGAGGTGGGGGCTGGGGCTCGAGACAAGAGGTTCACCGTGGCCGCCAGTTCCCATCGACATCCTAACCCTAGTCCGATCGAGAGGGCGCGCTGTGAGCAACGAGAAGCTTCACCGCTTTCGCCACCGCCACTAGACCGCGCCTCCACTGCGCCTTCGACACCGCCGCCGGACTCCACTGCTACACTACACCAACACCCGCGTCATCAACACCTACGTCATGGCTTCCTCCTCCGATCAAACCCACCGATGGTCTGCCTCTCTACATCCCTCTCTCTCCCTCTTGTTCTCTCTCTAGGACAAACTACTTGTTTATCCCAAATAGAAGAGAAAAACCCCACTAATCTACGCCTAGATAATCCTAGAAATCTATCATCTTCATCTTCATCTTCGTTGAACTACAAGACATCAACATGGGAATGGCTTCTGCTCTGAGTTCCTTCAACAAGAAAAGCACTTTGCTGATGCTTACTGCACCGGTGAAGATAATAGGCAGGATTCCAGCTTCGTGGGGGAGACATGCATGGAGTATTGGAAGAGAAGATCCAAGGAGAGTTGTTCATGCTCTCAAGGCTGGGACAGCTCTCACACTAGTCTCCCTCTTGTACATACTCGAACCTTTCTTCAAAGGAATTGGGAAGAATGCAATGTGGGCTATCATGACTGTAGTTGTCGTTCTTGAATTCACTGCAGGTAATTCACATTGATCGACCAAAGTTTATATAAACTGCTGGTAGCATTTATTCCTTCTATTTTCATATATATGTAGTATTCTTGCACCTAATAATAAGTTATTACCGTACTTATTACTGATCAACAGGAGCAACCATATGCAAAGGGCTGAATAGAGGGCTGGGAACAGTGTTGGCGGGCTCTCTAGCACTTCTCATTGAGTTTGTAGCAGCTGGAATCGGGAAGGTTTTGCGTGCTTTCATCATGGGAGCTTCAGTGTTTATAATAGGTGTGCTGTAAATCAAATCAATTGTCACATGCCATAAGCAACTCGATGGATGATAAGCAATACTCACTGCTGCTTTTTATTTCCTATGGATAGGATTTGCTGCCACATATGTTAGATTCTTCCCAACATATTTCATTCTTGATCAGAATTTCTCTCCCCAGATTCATTCCTGATCACGTCATGCATGTAGTAGTAGATAATATATAATTTTGTCCCTGCAACTTCTTGAGAAGAAATCCACGTCTATTCCTCGCGCCTAGCAGCGCGCTGAGCCTCTACAGTCTACTATAAATCCTCGTGATGAGCACCACTCCAAATATGCATGGCACTCCTATCTGATGTGGCTCTTCAAGATGCAAAACCTCACACAAGCATGCACATTTGACCTCCTGGTAAAAATAATCTGGCCACCTGGCGATCTCCACCATTGATATGCATCTGCGCCACGCATCAATCAAGCCTGCTTCTAACCTGTCAAAACTCTTAAGCAATGTGTGTTTCTGCTGATTGACATGACTACTATTAGTTAAAGTAATTTGGCTGATCAAATAAACTAACTTGCCAAATTACATTGTCAACAAGTCTGAATGTGAAATGGTTGTTTTTTAGTCAGTTAGTGTGAATATGAATCGAAGTCTGAACTCCTACTTTTAGCCGGATACTGTGAACATGAATCAAATTGTGAACTCTCTCTGCATGATAGTGTGTACTCTGCACATTATAAAGGGAAGGAGGCGCAGGATTGTGTGAACTCATGCAAAGCTTCCTTTCTAAACAGTACAAAAGGGATATGGCGCAGAAACTACTGACACCACTTCTATTTCCTATCTCCGATAAAAAATGTCGCATGAACTTGAACTTGGCCACATGCAACACCATGGTATACAGAAATCTATTTATAATTGATCTTAGTTACATACAAAACATTAAATAGCTTGCAGACAATGAAATAGACCCTGGGTTGACCCGTCTGTGGGCTGTTCATGCCTTTAAGAGTTTGTAAGACAAATTGTCTGGTTTAGAACTGTGTAGGAGAAAAGTTGGACTTCAGCAATAGTTTAGGGAGGCTTTTGCTTCCCCTCCCACCGCCCAATTCATTTAGGCCCATAAGCCCAGAAAACTTATTCATAGTTGGGCGGTGGAAGCCGGGCCTTAAACTGTAGTGGAGGCCCAATTGACCAATTGACGGCGCCGGGTTTAGGCCACCGCTACCGTACACCGCACTCCGCAGTATGGCTCGCCGACTGTGCCGTCTCTCTCGCCTCTTTCCCCTCGTCTCCTCCGCGTCCGCCTCCGCCGCCCCGAGGCCTCACCACCTCCCCTTCGCCGTGAACCCCAACCCCGCGCCCCTCGCCCCCTCGTTCTCGGCGTCGCTGCCGCCCGCTTTTCCCGCTCCCCATCGCCTCTTCTCTTCCGCGAGTATTCCTCTCGACGACTCGATCCTTTCGTCTCGCCCATGCCCCGCCTCCATTTCGCACGGCGCTCGAGGACTGACGGCTGTTTGGGTTGGCTGTTGCAGGTGGTTCCAGCATGGTGGTCGTCGGCTCCGCGGACTCCTTCAACAGCATCCTTTCCAAGGTGCAAGGTACGGCACCGATTTCCTCTTCTCCCATTTCCAAACCTTGCTAGATGCTAGCTCGTCCTTGCCTCCTTTGGTATGTCTGGTGCTGGGTGATGAATTGGGTCATGGTGGTGCAGACGGTTTGTTCGTTCTCTTGTTGTGCCTGACTGGCTGTGATCCCTGTGGATTTTGCAGATGAGAAGCTACCAGCCGTGTTCTACTACACGGCGGTGTGGTGTGGACCATGTAAGTACTGCCTCATTCTGATGCCAGCGTTGCCAAGTATAGGCTTCATTGATTGTGTGTCATAATTTTATTCTGTGATTGTGCCGCGTAGGTAGGGCGATGGCACCTTTGGTTTCAAAGCTGAGCAGCCAGTATCCCAAGATACCCGTGTACAAAGTTGACATTGACATGGTAAGCCTGCAAATTTAGATTTTACTGCTACTGTGATATGCTAGAAATTGCCTGTTAAGTATGCACTGTTTGGATTAATATTGGGATCAGGAATATGAGTATCCAAAGTCACAGTCTGCTGCTACTTCATCACCGCCACTTGTTTTCACTATACCAGTTTTAAGATCTCTGCTGTAGAGTTGTAATTGCACACTGGTGTGCTATTGTTTAGGGTACTTAACCTCTAACTATTGGTTCTCACTAACCAATTCCAGTTCAAGAAGAAATGAAGAATACCCACAAGCTTTGTCCATATTAACTCCGTTTCATATTGCCTTTCTAGCATCGCAAATTTAAATTCAGGTGAAATCTGTGCGAAAGTAGATTTTGGTATGTTTGATCAATGTTGTTACTACATCACTTAAGTTCTTTAGAACCAGGCTGCCTGTTTGTTATGCTATGAAGCATGGATACGGATATGCATATCAGTATTGGGAGGATACAGATACACAGATGTGGCATTTTCCCCAAAATCCTGATAGGCAGTTATGTTTTAGCATTTCTTAAATAAATAAATAACTATGCATAATAAAATTCTAAAACCAGGAGCAACCTAGAAGGAAATAAGGAACATTGAAATTGCCACCAGTTTCAGTTTTGCTCTGTTCCAACCTAAGTACAGAACACTTATCAATGTATAAGCCAGACATCTCTATTTTGGGAGTGGAGAATTCGGCCGCTGTTGTTGATGGACATTACATCGAGAGGGAGGGATAGCCGGCCACGGTAGCCATTGCTGCTATTCGGAGCTTGTGGGGAGAGCATGGGGAGATAGGTAAAAGAAGGAAGGGAGATGGTGGAGAGACTCACCGGAGGTTCACCTTGGGCTCCTTGGCTGCCCTGTGGAGCATAGAGTAGATGTCCATTGCACTGAGTGAAATACACATGGAGCTTGTGGAGCTTGGCTGAGTCTTCATGGCTCAACGCCGAGAAGTTATACAGCCTGCAACCTGCAGGTCGCGGGTTGCAGCACTCTCGCAGACTGGAGGGCGGTGATACATGCGCGTCTCTGGTACATCCATTAGGGCAACAGCAAGGAAGAGATATCGGGAGTCAGAGGTATACTGGGACTGGGCGGTATCGGAAATCAGGGAGCCACGTATCAGAAGTTGTTTTTTTATTTTTTATATCCGATACGGCGTGGATATGTATCCACCGCATAACCATAGCGTATCTGTATCGGTTCCGATACGAGATGTGGCCTCCCCCTCAAATATACATAGCTGCTATGTAGATGACAGTTGCTTATTAGGTTTTGGACTAGAACTGTGTCCATAGTGATTGTTTTCACATCAAAATGAATATTTCTTTAATACAATGGATACTGAAGTTCCATTGGTTTCCAGGAGACCAGGACAGAACTCATGCATTATAATGAAATAAACCACATGTTTGAAATTATCAATTTATTCTTACTTCAGGCCTGTCCTGTTTATATTGTTGATGATGTTTTTTTTTGTTTCCTGTCTTTGCTTTGCATTGCAGGAAGGACTGGGAAACAAACTCCGTGGTCTAAATATATGTTCAGTGGTAAAAAAAAATTTATCAAACTTTAATTCATGGCATATTAATATTATAATAATTTTGATCTTGCTTGTTGTGCAACCTCCAACAATATGGTGTCATTGATGTATTTGACTCTTCCACAGCCTACATTCCACTTCTATCACAAGGGGCAGAAAATTGGTGAAATTGTGGGTGCTGATGCAAAGAAACTTGAAGTTGTCATGGAAAGCCTCCACAAGTAAATCCTTTGACTAACCCCTCATTTTGTTGGCTGTTGTTTGGGTTCAGTTAAAGATCAAATCAAAATAAACCTAGATAAATTGAGTTTTGTAGCTACAAACAAAGGAAAAAAAAAAAACTTAGCTGTTCTCGGCATTAGTATGTGATCAACATTCATACACTTGCGTCTAGTGCTTAGCTGTTACCCTTTGTCCCTTTGGCAATGGTCCTTAAACTGAAAAAAAATACATTGGTTCTGCAGGCAGCAGTAGAAGTTTTAGAGAAGAGCCTCACATCAATGGAATGGTTTCCTTCATCTACCTCGCATGAGAAGGGTTGCGCACTTTATGATTTGTATTTTCTTATGTCATAGTGTTAATGCCGGTGTTTCATATGAAGACATCATCAGATGCTTGTGATTCGTGCTGGGTTGTTTCAGAGTTTTGGATCTTGAGCATAGGCAACTTCGTCCAAACTCGGGATGTTTCTCATGTAGTGAAATGTTTTTTTACAAGGTTACAGTGAAATGGTTTGAAAATGGGCCTCCATTTGTGCACGGATCTTGCTGGCGTTACGGTATATATTCCATATATACTCCGCCCTTTGCTCTTTTGCGCCACGTTAGTAACATAGACCATTGCCAAATTAACACCATCTGATGGGATCGACCCTTTGCTCTCTTGCGCCATGTTTGGTTCTCTCGCCTGCCTTACCCAGCTAAGCTAGCTTTGCCAGGACTGGAGAGTGGATTTGGCTTGCCTGGCTTGGAGCATAAGTTATTAGGACCGGACTGGACATCGAACCGGTGAGGCTATCAGTTCGATGGTTCACTGGTCCAACCGTTAAGAACCGGCTGAACTGTCGGTTCGATTGTTTTGGACCAGATGAATTGAACCACCCATAAATGCTTCGAACCGGTGTAATATAATGGTATATAATAAATGTTTCTTTTGAAAAAATATATAATAAATAATTAGCAGCATATATTTGATCACATATACAAATAAGATGATAAAACACGTACTCCAAGATATCGGTGCTTGTTTTACCATATAGGTAAAAAATATGTAGAAATAATATATGGAGGACTTACAAATTGGTAAAAAATGACTAGAATAGTAATTCAAATATTCACTCTTGGAAAACAATCTCGAATGCTAAAATAGAGTACACCATTGCGAAGAGCTCGTTGAGATAATCAAAATAGATATATTATTTGTCTAATTTGGAGCTCATTTGAAAAAATTATAAAATTTCGAAATTTAAAAGACCCGTCATCCGACGCCAGCACTACCAAAAAGTCAAAAGCCAGGAGCAGCCGGCTGCACCACCACACCACGCATGCAACATTGCCCTTGTTTAGTTCCGTGAATTTGGATTTTAGGGCTACTGTAGCATGTTCGTTTTTATTTGACAAATAGTGTTCAAACATGGACTAATTAGACTCAAAACGTTCGTCTCGTAATTTCCCACCAAACTGTGCAATTAGTTTTTCTTTTCGTCTATATTTAATGCTCCATGCACGGGCCGCAAACATTCGATGTGACAGGTACTGTAGCAACTTTTTAGAATTTGGCCTCCAACTAAACACGGCGAAAATTTCAAAGTGAGCAGCAGCCATGAGGGCCCACCAGTGGCAGGTGCAGGTGCTCCACCAGCTTGGATAGGACCACGCGTCCACGCTGCACAGCAGAACTGCATGCGCGGGATCAAACCGGGTCGGTTCATATGGAACCGGCCGGTTCACCGGTTCTACAAAAAATCGGCCAGTTCAACCGGATTTTACCGGTTCGATTGCACAAACAGTCTTTTAAGTGAATCAGACCAGCTTAGGCTCTGGTTCGGTCACAATAACTATGGCTTGGTGATAAAAAAGCTTGATAAAACAATAAACGAAGCAGCGAGCAAACAAACCAAACAACCATGTGTTTGCCTAGCCAGGCAAGGCAAGGTCCCTTAATTTGTTGTCCCAAACAGGCCCTTACTTTGCTACGTAGTATTTATCTTCTACCACCCACCGCCACCACGCCTTGTCTCCGATCCAATCCAATTCCCCACATGGCCCCGCCTCCTTCCCCTCTCATCCCCGGCTCCTTCTGATGAAGCTCGACCTTACACCGACGAGGGCCGGACAATGGAAAAGGCTGCCACCCAAAGCTTCTTCCTTAGAATAGCAATGGCGGGATGATATCAACATGCGCCTCACGAGCAGGAGCTATCCCCCTCACCCCAACCCTCTCACCTCACGAGAAGGAGAGCACTTGCAATACCACGGGAAACGTCATCTCAATGGTGGCCAGTGTACTTGGCTTGAGCCTAGCTGGCGCCTGGGTCCTCGGAGTAGCGTCAGGGCATATCTACGCCTTCGTCGCGAGAATCAAGGGGAGGTTTTCTCAGGCTGGTGACAAAACATATGTGATACTCAACAATTCTATAATCAAATGCATGATGAACACAAAATCAAAGCTCTCCATTTAGGGGGTGTAACACATCTGGTGTTTTGACCTAGAACTAAAACTTGACATGTCATCATATGCATTGAAAAGCATTCATAAAGTAGAAAATTTTGAATGCATTCACTAAATAAGCTTTATTTCATAAGTTGTTATCTTATGTAATGTGATTCAAAACTCTAAATGAAGATCATGACCGCAAGGGTCAATTTTCATGTGATCATGTGAGACCATGTGTCAATTGACTCAAATAACCCTAATGGGCCATGTTATTGGTCAAAAACCATAATTAAGTAAAAAGTTAAACAAATTAAATGTGAATTTAAATTCAAACTATAAAAGCTCTTTTTTGCCCCTTTTGTCTATTTTAAAATCCATTTGGAATTTGGGGGTATGACAAAAAGCAAAGTTGAAGCTTATATTATAAGGATCAACTTTGGTATTCAAAGTTTACATATAAAATTTGGAGTAATTTTGAAATGATTCAAATGCTCAAATACACCCCAAATTCAAATTTCAAAATGGAGGCAGAATTTGAAAATGTTCATTTAAGCAAAGTTGTAGAACTTGAAATGTTGAGCAACTTTTATTTTTGGAGATTTTCAACTTCTTTAGAAAATTTGTGAGTAATTTGTAAAATGAATTCAGTGGCAATTCTGTAAATATTTCAAAAATCGATTTGGAGCAGGGCGCCACCTCCTGCTCGCCACCGAGCTGCTTGCCACCGAGATCCTTCTTGCGGGTTCCGGCCGATGCCACACAGCTACTTGCTGCATGGCACGCAGGAGCTGTCCTTCTCCTGGAGCTCGTCCTCTTCCTTTAAGAACACGTAGAGCCGGCCGCCGTGCCCAGTTTTCCATCCCCTGTTTCGCCACCACCGCCGCCGTCGTGCTCCGCCACTCGCCGCTGCCTCAGCCGCACGTCCCCTGCCAAAATTGGCCACGCCACAAGTTCCGCCTTTCCCTTGTGCACCTATTGGAGCCAGCCGCAGTACCTCGTCGCACTGGAGTAGGCCGTGCAACGTCGTCTTCCTCGCGCATGGTTAGCGCGCCGCCGAGATCGGTCGCGCCGTGGCTAGAGCTCTCCGGTCGGTTTCTCCTTCAACCTGATAGCGTCTGAGCATCGTCGTGAGTCACTGATCACGCCCGCGCTGCCCGTTTAGTCGCTACCACGCCGTTGACGTCTGTCCGCGTGCTCGCCGGTGCACTTCGCTCGATACCGCCGCTGTGCACGAAGCCTAGCCACTGGGGGTTGCTTTTTGCTGCTTTAGCCGCTCAGTTACGTTCGCCTGTGTGCGTAGAAGCTGTAGGTGATCTCGCCGTCGCCGGAGATACTCCGGTGGCCACTACCACCGTGTCGTCGCTGCCGCCGAGCCGCCATGACCGTCGACGAGCTAGCTCCGGTACCTCCGCTGCCACGTTAGGGTCACCAGCGTGTCCGCCAGGTCGCGTAGAGCATGTAGGTGCAGAGCTTGGGGCCGGAGACCTCGCCGTCGGCGAGGAAATCGGCCGATCAGCGCCGCTGTGCCCTGTTGGTGCCGCTGACATGCGGGCCCTGGATGTCAGTGAGAGAGAGAACAGGGAGATTTCTTATTTTCTGGATTTTGAATAGTGCAGCAACTTTGGAAATTCATAGGAAAATAATTACAGCTCCAAAAATTCTGAAAATTTGTGTGCAGTTTCTGTACATGTTCTATTATGGTTTAAAAATATGAAACTTGAAATTTGAATAAATTTTTAATGTTCAAAAATTCAGTCAATTAATTGATAAATGTAATTTCTATAATTTTTGTAGGTCACTGTATAACTCCAAAAATTATGAAATTTATTTTGGTACACTATTTTGTCATGAGGAAGCTTGCATAAAATTTTGAGGTCATTTGAAACAAGTTCATTTGAGCTTATTTTCCAAATTAATTCAAAATTGAGTAAAAGCAAACCCTAAGTGTTAGGTTAGGGTTTGATCTTGTTTTGGTCATGTTTTGTGACCAGTAGGGTTTCAAGATCAATTTGGTCAAGTCACTTAGGTCATAAGCCCTAGGTCATTAAAGTTTGGTTAGTATAGTTAATGAATGATTTCATTCATTAAGGGTAGAACTTTGGAGTGAAATTTTGGGTAATTCTTTAGAAGAATGTAGGGTTTCTTAGTAAACATTTTTGTGTGGTTCTTGATGGTAGAATTGCAAGTTGGTTTTGTTGGCTTGCAACTATACTGTGAAGGAAAGTTGTACTTAAGGTGTTATTATATTTCATGCACCATGAAAGTATCATGTTTACATTATCATCATGTTGAAGCATATGTTATTATTTCGTGTAGAATCCGAGAGCGAACCGATCCTAGTTGAGCAAGTTGTGGAAGAATCCCCGGTTGTCTCGGGATTTGATATTTGTGGTACTGATCCGGAACCCGAGATCGTCAACGAAGACAAGCCCCGGTTTATGCATTAAACCATTACCTTGTTTACTTTGAAAAGTTTATCACCTATGTTACTTATTGCATTAAGTTAATTAATTCAAATGTTACCTACTTGATGCATTGTTTACCTTGTTAATTGTTTACCATCCTTGAAG